TCCAGCTCCTGTTGTCGCCATCCCAGTAGTGCTCCATGCAGTGACACTCCAAGCACCGCCAGTCTTCTTCTTCAGCATCTTCATGGTCGACCGCAGGTCCATCGTCTGGTTGTACATGAGGTTGTGGTTCCGGCTGTGGTCGTGCAGATGCTTTCGACCAAGGTGAAGGTGTAGGTCCTGCTTTCGTGCCGCCTGCATCGGCCGATGAGCCTGGCCTGCTTGTCGAGGTGGTTGTGGATCAGGTTCACGTGATGGGCTCCGTGAGGTAGGCAGATGATCCTCGTCAAACACCACCTGGACTTCATCTGGTCCAAGCCTCGGGTGGATTGGTCGTGCTGGTACTCCAAGAGGAACTCCACCTGGCCATAGTGCATGAATCGGATCCGACCCCATCGGCAGACCGGGCCCCTCCCTTGCCGGGCCAGTGGCCGAAGGGCATGCCTCCAGGCATCATCGGCATACATGGTCCTGGCCAGCCCATAGGAACTTGCCAAAGAGGAGCACCCGGAAGTCCAGGATGTACACCACCATCAACCTGCCCATGAGGCACTCCAGGGAGATGTGATAGTCCCGGGTGGTCAAGCCCTTGAGGCTGTCCAGGTCGTAGCGGTGGCATCTGCCCTTCGTGTACACGAGCGGCTCCAGGGCCTCTTGCTCCGTTAGGATGCTCACGCTGAAGAGCAGCACCACCTCGTAGGTCGTATTCACGAGGATCACGCCGAAGAGCGTCTTCCGGTCCTCGTGCGCCTGTATGGTGATCTCGCCGGTGGGCACCATCAGGGCCTTGAGCCCCTTCGTGGTGACCGTGCCGAAGAGCATCATCATCAGGTAGTAGCTCATCGTCGCACTGTGACGCGTCGGAGTCTCTGCTTGGTGATTGGGCTCTCTCTTCTTCTCCAGGCCGGTGGGCGTCACTTCCGCCAAGCTCATCAGCTCCGGCTCCAGCACCGCCTCCGTCGGCCTGTCCCTGCGTGGTGGGCTGAGGGGCATCACCGCCATGACGAGGTTCAGTCCTCAAGTCCGGCGTCCCGCCGCTCTCCTCTGCCGGCACCACGTCCTGCCAGGAAGGCATCGCTGATGAGGATGTTGGGCTCCCGAATCGCTGTGAGGAGCTCCGCTACCAACTTGTGGTAACGCTCAGCGAACGTTTTCCATGGTTCCGCCACGCTGCGAGCGGAAGTAAAGAGTCTAATTGACTCAAGGGCGCCGCTAAGCCAATGGCCGCGAAAGGCAAATGCATTGGGGACCCAAAGAAGAAACACCGCAAAACTCACACTACCTACCTACATACATACATACATACATACACACATACATACATACACACATACATACTTACATACATTCATACATACATACATTACGTGCATGCATGCATGCATGCATACACACACATAGACACATAGACACATAGACACATAGACACATAGATAAATGGATATAGATACATAGATACATAGATACACAGATACATAGATACATACATACATGCATGCATGCATGCATACATACATCCATCCATCCTTCCATCCATACATGCACAAATACATAAACCATAACTGTAAAGCCAAAAAACCACCAAAAGCCGAGCAAAGCAACGAAAAGCCGCAAACGCCAAAAAGCCGCCTGCTGCAGAGCAACTGGGAAAGCACAGGATGCGAAAAGCCGAAGCCAAAAAGCCAGCTGCCAACTGGCAATGCAAGGGATGCGGCTGCCAAGCCAAGAAGCCCAAAAGCCGAGAAGCCAAGAAGCCGAAAACGAAAAACAAGACACAAAAAGCCTAAAAAGAATACCCCTCCAATACAAAATAGCATATAGCTAGCTAAATAGATAAGGAATCGCAGGACTCCGGCTTTTCGAGATAGCCCAACAGAAAAATAGCTGGACAAATAGTTGGCTGGACAAATAGATTGCCTAAAAAATCCACAGCAACCCAGCTCAGCATATCCCTGATCTCCCATCGAAAATCCCCCAGGCCTGCCCTGTGACAGATTGCTTCCAAATACCTCCAGGCCAACAGGTGTGCCAGTGGAAACCTGAGAAGGACAAGAGTCACAAGCAAGCAAACTGTAGCTGACATGTAGCACTAGCGGCAACCAGCTTTCGCCCCAAGCCCCACTGGCTGGCGAAACGCGACAAGGTATGACACCACTGGTGTCTGAGAATGCTGCCAGCCATTCCTGCGGGCTTGGGGGGCAATGCGCTGCAGGGCTCTGAAATGCATCCTGGCCTACACTGGGCATCCACGAATGCAAGCTGAAAGCGATAAAACATTATTGCAATGACATTTGCGAGTAGTTGGGTGACAGCTTCATGTAAGCAGCAGTGCTGGAAATAGTGTCTGTGTCACAACTCCAGCTGGGTGCCGTTTGACCAAAGAGTGGGCAACAGGCGCTGGGCAGGCCCAGGGCCAAGTCACACCCTGCTTCTCCTGCGTCTCGCCTGATGCCACCGCAATGGCTGCTGCCTCAGCTCCCGCCATCTCGCTACCGCGTGCACCGTGCACAGGTCAACTGAGGTGTTTCCTTGAAGGGAACGAGGTCCTTCGAGGGGGAAAAAAGGCAAGGGGGGCCTAGACTCGAGAGAAACCGATCAAGCCCAAACCAGGCCACTAGACATCAGGGATCTTAGTGAGAGGGGCAAATCAAGCTGGCTGGGCTGCGGGCAAGTCGTCCACCCATGAGCTGAAAGACATGGCAAGCTGCCACTTCACAGAGTCCAGCACTCTGGACAACGAAGCGTGGAGAACTGTGAGGGTTCTGTGTTGGTGTGGCTGTGGTGCGCACTCATTCCTTGTACATTAACTACAAGGGGGGTGAACATTGCGATGTGCCTCAGTCAAAGGTTGCATGCTGCCAAGGAATCCACACAAGGAATCCATGCTGTCAACATTACGTGCGAGTGCCATGCCCTCATCAAACTTTTAGAACGCAGCTCCATTGCAAGTGCATAAAATCAGCGCTTTATGTGCCCCATGGTAAAAGTCACCTGAAGACGGCCATGCACAACTTTGGGCGCAAAACTTTGGCGCCGAGTGCTTGAGCCTGATGTCAGGTCCCCGGGCGTCAGTATGGGGAAATGGCCGGAAATTTAAGCGCTCGCCACCTTACAAATACATGCAACAACAAGGAACTTCCCTGTGTGCCGAATGAAGGGTGGACTGACCTGAGGAGCTGCAGTAGGAAGTGCCTGCACCAGTCAAGCGAAGAGAGCGCAAAGCATGCAGTGGGCCAGCGACCACTGCTCCCTCAGAGCACAGAATGACGAGAGTAGCTGGCACTTGCAGAGCGTTTCAAACGACAGCAGATCTTTCCTTTGGGCAAAGCCCACGCAATGGGTGCCACGCCTCGCAGGAGCCATCGCTTCTCAACAGCGCCTGAAGTGAGAACTTCAACCGAGAAACCCTAGCCCTAGAAGTCAGGGAGTTCTCGTGCTTGCAAGTGAGCCGGTGGCTCACCTTTCAAGGCGGCATCCAAAGGAATAAGACGCTCTAGTCTTAGTCTCGCCTGGACCTGAAGGGGGGGGGGGAATTGGGACACACACACACACATACATGCACCAGAGCCAAGTCAATCTGCCCCCCCCTCTTGCGTGAGTGCTCCGCCTGGTTGCAATCACACCGGCTATACCTCAGCGTAAGCTGGCCGTGCTCAAGACCCAGGAAAAGGACGGATGGTAGCCCTTAAGATGCGAACGCAGTGTTGCAAAAGACCTGGTGCACAACCAGCCAGAGCGCAACGCCAAAAAGGGAGACCCATTTGACATCAGCATGTACTTGCCTCACTGCAACTCGTCTGGTTAGTTGCACTGCAGGCCTGGGAAGGATCTCCACAGTCCAATCAGCTTGGCTGCGGCACTCTTGCATCAATCTCTCTGGGCTTTGGATCAAGCATTCGCCATTTGCCTTCACCACCCCTTACGCTGCCCACCCAACTGACCCAATGGAGCACAGGCTGCGGGCAGACACGCAACCAGCATCGGTGGAGCAGGTTGCCCTTGGCCCAGTGGGTCATTGCAATGGACACTCGTCCATGCATTTTGCTGCCGAGGATCGCCAGTGCTGTGTCCAGTATGGCCAGAACCTCTGCACTTGTTGCTGCCACTCCAGCTTTCTTCATGGACTAAAGCAGTGGACGACTTCGCAGCTTGCTGTAATGGCATTAAGTCCAGCACAAATACAGGCCATTTTCGGACCTCAGCTGCAATCGCGGGCACAAATGACCGCAAAACAAAGAGGCGAGTGCCCACGAACTGCGAGTGCCCGTCATAGCAAGCAACGCTCGGGCCAACAGTTGCACAGGTCAAGAGGTCTCTTCAGTTGCTCATCCATAAATCTAGAAAACAGCTTGGATGTGCTTTTTGTGGATTTCCCCGGTTTTCCCCCCGTTGGTCCTTTGTTAGCAATTACTCTTTTAGTAATCTTTTCATCTTCTACAGGAATGGAATCCCACAAAAGCCACATCCAAACCGTTCTCTAGATAACTCCATGTGTGCCCATCTGCATTCCCTACCACCATAGCTGCCAAATCTGAAAAAGAAGTTCAGGCAAGCATGAATCAGTGCGGCATATGCCGCTGGCATCTGCAGGAACTTTTTGTTTTTCGTGAGAGAGGCAGCAGCACCTGGGAAAGTGGCCAGAACACTCATTAAAGCGTGGCAACATTTTTGCCCTCAGCCAAGCAACCAACAGATTGTTTCAAGAACTATTGGTTAACCGGCAGCTACCTATGGGAGTACTTGCTGCAACCCTCCAGGCAAACTTGGACGTGTCAAAGCAGGCTTGTCACAATGCGCCTGAAAATTGCACAGGCGTCGCGTGCGCGCCAAGCCCTGGCACCAAGCACATCGCTGCAGCATCTGCATGTCCCTGATCACACACGGGCAGCTTGAGGGGCAGCACTATGGACAGAGCCGCGCAACCAAGGATGGAGTGATGGTATGTCACATGCGGCGAAACGAAGCCAACAAGGCAAACGGCAACTCAACCCATCCTCCCAGCGCTAGGCAGCTCGCAGCCCGCAAGCCTCAGTGACACAAGACGCTCAATGAGCTGTCAATGCATGGGGGACAGTGCAGTCTTACTTGGCTGTTGGCCACTTCTCCTAACCCTAAACACATTAACCCGCGAATCTAAACTAGTTGTTGCTTACAAGCACCGTTGTCTTTGTCAAATATGTGATACTCTTCAGCCGCCAGCGAAACGACAAGCAATACCGCGCTTTTTCATCTGGCTATTGGCCACTCCTGCGCCACAAGCGGAAGGTGAGCGAAGGTCTCCTGGAAATGGGCAGCTCCCAAACAATCGAGCCTCCAGTGCCATGGTGGAAGCCTTCCAGTAGCCATGTTCATTGCTCACGAATGGCAACCTTGAGTATAACAGCGAAATGAGTGAAACTGAGATCTGTCAACCAGGCATGCCTCCCGAACCCCTCGTTGCAGGGTCCAACCCCCACATCACGTCACCTCCAGAAGCTGGGTGCCACCTGCGGCTCGGAGGCCTCAGCACAAGCGGCATGACTTCCCGAACACCTGGAGGACCTATCAGTAGAGAGTCCGGCTCTACTCGCTTCTGCACCCAACTCCAGAGCCCAACCCACGGCTCACATGGCCCCTGGCAACCCCTGGCAACTGGGCACCGAGCCGAAAGGCGGCGCAGCTGCCAGCGGACGTCCAGCTGAGCCTTGCAAGGCCGACGCCGCCTTCCCGTGGTGACATTGAGCTCAAAGGAAGCTGAGAACAGCATACGCCCTTCAACAATATTGTGATCTTATTGAGCTGATAGGTTTGCCTCGCCATAGCGGACTCGTCATGACATGCGCCACGCCTAGCACAAGAAAGGCAACTTCGCATTCGGGGGTCCAGCTCCTAGTTACATGTTGCCGGGCTGACAGCTTGGCTGGTTCTAGTCTAGACCATGTTTCGCAAGGCTTGACATGGCTTGCCCCATTTCCTGTCCATGCAAACCCACTGCAGCCTTGTGCGTCTTGTACGCGTCAAAGGCCAGAAGTAGCAGCTGGGCTTCCCGCAGCGCCATCTGTATGCGCCGCCCGGCCTGCCCGCAGAGAGAACACAAGCGTTTGACCAGCAAAAGCAAAGCTGCCAAGGGGACTGCAAGCCTTCAATGACTTCAATAGGTGAGGAGATGAACAAATGGTGCGTTGTGGAACCGTTCGAAGAACGCCAGCTCAGTCACACCTGCCAAAAAGAAGCATATATAAGCATACATGTTTCTTTTTCTTTGCCCACTTCCCCATGCAAGCTACTGCCGTACCTTTTAATTTCGATTCCGTCCCTTTGCAACATCAGCTTCCGTAATATAAGATTGTCGTGTTGGCATGAGTGGCAAGTATATAAGCAGAGAATGAAGAAGCTTCCGAAAATATGGCCTGAAAGCCAACAAGTCTGAACCAACTCTGAACCAAATGCAGACAGGCCAGTACGCAGCAAGACAATGCCATCAAACATTCCGAAGTCATCTGCTTGAGAATGGACATTCATCCGGAACTTGTGCCCTTGGAATGAAAATCGGGAGAATCGGACACTGCTTGGGTAGGCCTGATTCTGACCTCCAGATTGATTGCTGTTTATCTCAAGTCTTTGTTCATTTATCTCTCTGTATCTCTCTCTCTCTCTCTCCCTCGCGCTTGCGCCACCGGACTCCGTTCCATACCCGCCAAACTTGTTGGAAGGCCCTTTACCAATCTACTTCTCTGTATCTCGCTCTCTGTCTCTCTCTATCTCCCTCGCGTACATGGCAATGCAGGGAAAGCATCCACACCACTTCTGAAGCTGAACATGCAACTGCGCAAAGTCTTTCCCAATACTCGCCTCGCGGCTTTCAGGCCAAGCATTTTGGTATTTGTGGATGGCATTCACCACGCAGTCGCGGCTGATGGGGTCCTCAAGCCGTAGCCACTTCACCCCGATGTGAAAGTGCCCTTCGGCTTCTGCCTCGCAAGGTCAACCGGCATGCGTCTCGAGAACAAGGGCGGTTGTGAGTAAGAGACTCAAAGCTAGAACATTGTGAAACAGTACAGCAGGAGCAACGTAAAGTTGCATAACAAAACTGAAACCAGGAAGCCGTTGCCAAGCACTCTTCGACACTAGAAAAGGTTGCTTTGAAGCACTGTTTCTTGCCTTGGACTTGTAGCTCATCAAAGCAGCTGCCACTGGCTTTCCTTCTGACTCCAGTTTCCCGGCTTCCAGGGCTGCCAGCAGGTCATGCAGTGATGGCCTGCTTTGCCCCCAGCGCACCATCTAGTTTGTGATCCGTTAAGTGAGACTTCAACGTTCGTTGGAAAAGGGCCCACGCCAAAGCACACATTTGCCCCAGTTGTTGCGTGCCCACAAAGGCAACATGTAATGGAAAGCAACCTATGCCCCCATCCCTGCAGGGAGTCACTTATTAGGGCTCTTGACTGGTTCAACTGAGCTCCGAGCGCAGAATCCTCCACATCATCCTGCGGTGGTGAGGACTCCGCCAGCTGCATACTGGTAGTACGCGACTCCGCTAGCTCTCTGGAAGTATCCAACCAGCACAGTCTGGCTACAAAGCTCGGCCGGATGCGCGTCAGAACCAGTTTGGTGCCCAGAGCATCATCGTCATACATGTGACCTGGCCCCAAAAGACCGAAGCGGTCGATACGTCACAAGTAGAAGAACATGCTGTGACAAGTCCCATGGTCGCACGCATAGCCGAGGCACAATTCGGCTGATCAGCATAACAGCAGTCGAACAACAAACTGCAATACCTTACGTGGAACTCCGTGCCCAGCAAAGTTCAAAAACACGGACCGGCCAACTGGCCGCATGATGCCACGTGCTGGACTGTTGTAACAGTACCTGACTTAACCGCATCAAGGAGCTCCGCCATGGAGTGATCGTTGAAGCCATGCCGAGTGAGGCAAAAATCATGTTTCCAATGCAGCTTCTCCTTGTCCTTCCGCACTTGGCGGCATGTCAAACACTTGCACAAGCTGGCACAAGGCTCAATGGCCGATTCCGACAGTCATCCCCCCACCCAGTACATCCCAGTACGACAAACAGCTTGCCCACCGGTGGAAGCACAATGTGTTGAGAAGCGCTACAGGCGCCCGGCATCAACTACGTAGCAGTCTGTCCTCACGGCTCAGCAAGCGGATGGTGGAGACGTGTTTGAAGCCTTTGGCACAGCCAACCAGGTGGCGGTCAGTGTCTTCGCGCGCCAGCAGCGCGCTGGCCGAGGCGTGAATGACTTTGGCGACTATGCGGCCGCTCACCATATTCCTCTCCTGCCGAGAGGGAGAGAGTGAGCGTGAGAGTGAGAGTGAGAGTGAGTGAGTGAGCGACGGGCATTTGTTTGCCACCGCAGCAAGGACTCGGCTGAGAGGTTTTGAAAAAAAACAATTTTCGAATGGAACATCCTTTGTTGGCTAGCTCGGATTCTCCATGTGTGATATCACGCCTGCCTTTGGCAATTTGACTCGCCTGTGTTTGCTGGTGCCAGCTGAGCCTAACTTGAAGCTAAATGCGCTTCTGCTGGCAAACCACCTCATTCTAGATGCAATTGGGGCCAAGGGTGTTGACCTCACTGTTTGGTGACTCCCAACACCCACTCCCCAAGTTGCAGCTTCGATGGGAAACTAAGGACTGTACTGCAAACTCGTGAAAGAAGGCGCTAAGATGAGCTACGTAGTATTACCTAGGAACCAGCTTGGGGGCGGACACCGGAAAAAGCTGTGAAGAAACAAACGCACACACACACACACACACACACACACACACACACACACACACACACACACACACACCGTTCACGATGCAAGACCGGTGAACAGAAACCGCATCAGCGGCGACAGAAACATACAGAAGCCCCGGTGGTCCTTGACCTGATCCTTCAAGTACTCCGCCGCCTCCCGAATCACCTCCCGCGGGCTCACGGCAGCCCAGGCCCGCGGGCAGGGATCGCCTGCGCAGAAAGCTCAGTGGGACACCAAATCGGAACCCCATGAAATACTCGTCTTCCCCTTGGCTTCCTTGTAAACCAACAAGAGTTCCCAAAGCAAAGCAAACAAACAATGCCACGTTTCCGCGGCGTCCGCTCTCTTTCGGGGACTCGCCTGCATTGATGAAGTTCACACTACGCTCCTTGGCAAAGGCCTCGAAGCTTGCGAACTTCCTCAGTGTACGGCTTGACACATTCGTTGGTCCAGCGGTGGAGTTAATGCTACCAGCAAAGTCTGAGAACGCTTTGGTCGAAAACTTGAGCCTTCAAGCTTGAATTCTGTTGAATAAGTTTCACTACCTTCGCCCACCACACAGGAGCGGAAGATACAGCACAAGTGCTCAACCTACCGTCATACCTGGCACTTATGACAGCAAACTCATTACAATTGCGCAGGGCTTGTCCCAAAAGTAGCATGCCGTCAACGTCCACTGCGGACATTCTTTCGGAATCCGGAAGGCACCTGCACCAAATGTCCGCCGAGCGGCTCGTCGCGGACATCCGCATCTGCTCCGAAGCACATGGGCGAGCCAAAGGTCACGCAGCGGATGGACCGCAGCAGCTTGCGCGCGCCGCCCCGAAGGCGCCATCGCTCCTGAGAAAGGCATAGCGTAAAAACAGCCCCCATGCACACTGGCCTGACATACATGTACTCTCGAAAACAAGCCATGTTCTAGCTTGCTCATCAATGCCGTCTTGACACAGTTGATACTGTGGATGGACGAAATCCTGCACCACCTAAGAAACCCTGGAATGTTGATTCCCCTGTAAATACCAACCAACCATAGTTTCCCATGGTTTCGAAGTGGTGCAGGATTTCGTCCATCCACAGTATGGACGCAAGCAAACGCAAATAAAGAACACACATAGAACCCAGCTTAACCATGCAAGAATCATAGTCATGTAGCCGCTGATCATTTGTTCCAACTTGCCATTACACTTTTGCATAGGTGTTTGTTCATGTCGTAGCTTACCTTTTGCACGTGCAGCCTTGCTGTACTCAAGGCATGCTCAATCAAAGAGAGCTTCAAGGGAAGGTCC